CAAGGCTCGAACTCAGGTGCAGTAGAAGGAGACAAACCCCTTCCACCCGCTAGGCCAAACCTTGGTTTGCAATATATGTGTTATGGCAATCAATGACGTGGAAATGGTGGTTTTTGATGGATAGTGATGGGTCATGGTTTCTCAAACCAATTCCATTTTAGAGATACCGCACGAAAATCAAAACCCGATGGGAGATTATATTTTTTGCGGCGCCCAGCTCAAAGTAAAGGGGTGGCAGATTGTGCCTAGCTATATATACGTATCTATATCTATTCTTATATTAGGTCTAGATATGACCGCATCTGACTGCATATTAAACCTGAATGCATTCACTCTTAACCCTGTAGTGGGTGGACAAAATCATTTCTAATCATTTTTGGATGTACAGCGTGTATAGAAGTATACTTGTTATTATTTTTTAAATAACTTTTTATATTAAAATATATATTAATAATTTTTTTTATATAAATTATTTTTTATATCAACACATTAAAATAATTTAAAAATATTAAAAAATATATTAATTTAAAGTTAATAAAAAAATAAAAAAAAATAAAAAATTTTTAAAAACACTTTTAAAACACATAAACAAACAGAACCGTAATTATAAGTTAGCCGTGTGTTTTTTGAGCTCCAGGCATGAATTGTGTTCAGCATCTCTCATGTTAGGTTCATGTTAGGTGTATAACTAAAAGTTCATTTTATACTAAGCCCTCATGTCTTGAATTTAAATTAATAATTATAATATTTATTGTAATCTTATTAAATATAAATAAATTATTCATACTTATATTAATTAGATATAATAATATAAATAGTAAGATAATCTTTTTTTAATTATATAAAACTACTTTTCTACCCCTTATGCATTACACGAGATAGTAAAAATAAGATGATATAAAAGGAGAGAGAAAGAAAAGAAAAAGGAACCCTCTCTTAATTCTCTTCTCCTGTTCCTTGGATTTTTTTTCTCCACGTTTTCTATATATTCATAAAACTTTTTAATGTTTTTATCAATGTCATCCTTTATATAAATATTTTTGATATTGATTTGATCTTCATAGAGCCTTTTATCAACACCATTAAAAGATTTTATACTGATATTTATTCTATGAGAGTTTGATATCTCTCAAGAAAAAGATTTGTTTAGTGAGAAGTCTACATGGTCTTGAAGTAGAGGTCATTAAATTTACTATAATATATGAAAATTTTAAGGAATAATGCATCTTAAAATATTTATTTTTATTTTTATAAAGTGATGTGTTTTGTGGGTGAAGATAGTTTTGCCAACTATTTAAATTTGTAACGCTGGTGATTTATTCAAATTCAGCAAAACAAGAAGTCTAAAAGGGTGTTTGTTAGTTTAGTGTTGGTTGTGTTTTAAAATATTTTTTGTTTTAAAAAATATTAAAATAATATATTTTTATTTTTAAAATGAACATATAAAAGCACTAAAAAATAATTTTTTTAAAACATCAAATTTTAATAAAAAAAACAGGTTAAAATTCTCTCCCTGCCTGTAAAACGTACAGAAGCGAAAACATTTTTCTTATTTATACAAACATTCAGTGGGTTTTTTTAAACCGGGAACCACGTGAACATGCAATGTTGATACCGATCATGTTGCGTGTTTTCTTTTCAAAACATGGAAAAATAAAAAAATCAAACAAGTACGACACCAAACATGGACTAATTTATCAGGTGATTCATTTTGCATTATAATAACTTCTGTTTTCAATTTTTTTACTGAAAAAATATTAAATTAATTTTTTTAATAATCTTAACATGCTAGTATTGAATATATATATATATATATATATCAATTTAATATATTTTTAATTTAAAAATATCATATGCTAATCCAATACAGGCACCAAGTTAGATCTACTCTCTCTTTCTTTAGAATTAATTATTTATTATCTTGCCTCTTCGTTTCTTTGTTATTGCCATTTTTATTTAACATTCCAAATATGATGATCACACCGCTACAATAAATTGATATGTATAATTATTATGTGAAGCTTATAATATAAAAGGTACAGCCAAAAACCAGTGGTCACGATTTGTTTAGCCGATAGGCAATTAATGAAAATCAATTATAGATGCTTAACGAGTTTTCAATCTTGCTGCCCAGAAAAAAAACAAAAAAAAAAACATGAAGCAGCAGGCAAAAAACAAAAAAAAAAAAGGTGGATTGCTGTTATGTATTCCTTCAAATTTTTTAGTCATAACGATGGTGTTCGACAGGTTTTGCCAGTGGCGACTCTCTTCTCCTTTTCTTTCTTCCTCTGCTGGGAAGAAATCATATCATGAAAAATATCATGAAAAGACAGACGAAACAGAAAAATATAAAAAAATGACAATGGTTAATATAATGAAAATATATAAAAAAATTCAAGAAACATTGAGTAAACCTGCAAGCCAATCAGGGTGAAAAAATAACACAAATGATTTGGAATATGAAATTTAAACAACTCTATAAATAGTAAAGTGAAACAATTCAGGGAAAAAAATATTTGAAAAGAAAATATTTTAAGAAAATATCAAAACCAACCTGGATTAATTTTTCAAATCTATGACTTGAATCATCAGATTAAAGTGATTCTATTAAAAATAAATCTAAAAAATTAAAAAACAAGGTTTTTAAATAAATTAATATTGAGAAATGAAATTGATGATAAAAAAATCAATGTAAAACAAAAATAAATAACAATTTAAAAAATCAAAACTAAATTCAATATAAAAACCAATTGAAAATAATTGTCTGGAAATGAATGTCAAGGGAAAATTCAAGTGAAATTAAATGTTATGAATAAAATTACAAAAAAAAAAATAATTGAAAAAAATGATTGAAAATAACATTTAAAAGAACCAGCACCAAACTTAACACAAAAAATAAATAGAAAGAAACGCTATGAAAGGAATTGAAGAAAAACATAAATCAAAAAAAAATTGAAAAATAAAAAAATAACTATTAAAAGAATAAGAACTAAATTAAATAAAAACATAACAAAATTAAATAACTAGAGATTAAATTGAAAATAAAATCCAACTATAAACAATCGATGTAAATAAAACAATTACAGTTAATAAAAGAAGAACCTGATAAAAAGATTAAAAAAAAATTGATATAATTTTTTGCATGATCAACATACAACCTAAAAAAAAAGAGAGAGAAAAAAAATCATTTAGGTGGTGGTCAGGTGGTAACAATTTGGGATTAAGGGGTTTGCTTCCTCTGTGATTTCATGTTCGAGTTCTTGATTGCTCATATGATGGCTACTGGAAGCTTGTATAGTCGTTAACTTCAGGGTCCGTGGAATTAGTCGTGATGCGCGCAAGCTAATCCGAACACCTATATTAATCTAAAAAAATAAAAATTAATAAACATCAAATCACACCTCACTATTATAGATATGTCGTTCATAAATAAAAGAGGATGCCTGACACATCAAATAATGTGGTAAAAACTTGATTTTAACCAACTTCATTAGTTGCACATGCCATAAAATGACGAAGTTGCTATGCGGGCCTAACATGTATTAGTAGTTTTTTTTTGTATATGCACGAGATTAAAAATATTTTAATGACAAAATAATAAAAAATAAACTTTATAAAATTTAAACAAATTTTTTAAGTCAAGACTAAAAATTTTCAATGACAAGGACAATAAAGTAATTTAATTATTCATAAAACCATATAAAAAAACTAACAAGACTAAATAATAATAATAATAAAAATCATAAGGAAATGACAATTAAATCAAGAAGCTAAGGCTAATAAATTTGTGTAACAAGGATACTTGTAAAATTCAATTGTTCACGATAAAATTAAATTTATTATATGATTTGTAGATGAAAAATTCTGATTGTTTACTTTTTAAAGACAATAAGATACTGAATTGTTATTAAAAAAATAAAAAAAATTACAAATTAGTCACGTGCAAAAATTATTATACCTCTTAAATAAAGCTTTAAAAACTGAAGGGCGAAGGATAAAAAGTTAATTTCAAAATATCCTTCAACGCATTTCATTTTAGATTGCCAATGAATAGGCTAAATACGCGCGGTTTAGTTTTTCCCTTAATTGTTTTATCTATTCCAAAATCACAACCCTGAATATTTATTGTTTAAAGATTTCTCCCAACAACAACAACAATCAACGACACCTGGTGGCCTGAAAGAAGACCTCACAATCAATGTTCTCTTTAGGAAGCCAGGCAGGAAGTACGCCTTTTCGTTTCTCTTCTGGACGAGCAATATCAATAGGAGCAATATATAATTTAATTTCCTTTTATAGAGATATCTTTTTTTTTTTCTATGGCATAGATTTCTTCTACACTCTAATTTGCAAGGTAAAACTGATGACGCCGAAAAATTGGTGGATGAGATGAGGGAGGATGAGTTGTTTGCAATATTCATTATATGTCTGCTTCGGGATGTGTTGACGGCAAAGATTATGGTTTTTTTTTTTTTTTGCGGGTTGATTTCGACTCTGTTTAGAGAGGAAGAGGGTTGCGATTTCTGGGTAGATTTCGGGTTTGAAGGAGGTTGAAATTGGTGGAGATTTTTGGGTTATTGGTTGCTGCTTCAGGCTGGATTTTTGGGTTTGTTCAAGTGGTAGGGTTTGGCGCGATTTGTGGGGTTGTTCAACATAGAGAGAGGCTGTGATTGTAGTGGGCTGCTGCAATTTTGGGCTGGAACCATGGTGGCTGTTCGGGCACTCTCCTATTTCTTTCTGTGTCAGAAAACTGTTCGATAAAAGTCATTTTGATGGAGGATGGTGGAGGTGGCCACTTCCTGGATGGATTTGAATAAGAGAGTAATGTAGGTGAAATTGAAGCTAACGAGAATAGTGGAGGTGGCAATGTGAGATCACCCACTTTGATGCTTGTTAGTAAACTAATTGATGGTTATCTTTCTGAGATTGCATCAGATGCAAATTTTAGCCTGATAGATTCTATAATCTTGCAATTTAACTACCGGAGCAAGCTAGACCCTTTGATGATGGCCTTTACCGAGTTGTAGATGTCTATCTCAAGGTACAAATTGCCCAACAAGTTGTCTTGTTGTTATAGTCCAAGATTTAATATTCAGTTATAATAATTATTGTAAAGAAATTTATACTTCCCAGTAATAGAGTCTCTGTTTTTTTATTCTTGAAGGCACATCCAAGATTTAATATTCAGTTATAATAATTATTGTAAAGAAATTTATACTTCCCAGTAATAGAGTCTCTGTTTTTTTATTCTTGAAGGCACATCCATGGATATCAGAGGCAGAGTGAGAGAAGATACATGGAGTAATCCATCATGAACTTGCAAGCCATCATCAGTGTGGCTGCTCAGAAAATTAAGACCAGTAATTGCAAACCATAACTCTCACTTCTTCCTTTTCAAATCGCATATGCCATGGAGTTTGTGCATGCATCGATGCCAGCATATTGTGAGACTTCAGTCTTTGCAAACAAGCAGTTTAACATGTGCATAGACAAGTATATGCATTTACAAATTACCTAAGAAAATAAAAAAGGAGAATATAATTCTATAATGGCAAATGCTCTAACCTCACTGTTGTTTACCCAACTGCTGAATGGGCAATAGCAATATACGAGTTCCATTGATTATGAAAGTTTGTCATTTCGTGAAAGTATGGTTTGAAACCCATCGAATTTAATGTCGAATGCTTCTTTTGAAGATGCATGCATCTTGTTTGTTGAAATGCTTATTTTTTTTAAGCACCTTTAAAGAGAGAGCTAAAGCACGCCGGAAAAACTTTGTAACAGTGAATTGAAGATTTTGCCGTTGAAAAACCCTGAAAAAATTGTCTTTTAGAAGTAAAACAACCTTTTCCTTTGGTGTATTTGTCATTTTAGAATTGTTAAAGGGTCTCTAAGTCTTTTCATTATTTTTTCGCATAGTAAATAATCATTTAACTTTTCATGCTTATGTCTACAAATGTTAGGAATTTTATAGATAGAGAACAGGGAAAAGAGATGGAAAGAAAGTGGGTTGAAAAGTGTTTTTAGTAGAGTTAGACCTTTGAATATCTAAGGCGGAGGGTCAACCTTATCGCATGAATCCATATAAATCACATATTGAGAAAGCCTGTGGATAGAGAATGCCTTGGGTAGAGTACTAGCCTCTCTTCAACAGGTGGAGGACTATGAACCAATAAGCTAGAATGCTCTTGACTTTGCATATAGGTCCTGTAGGTATAGCTAAACTCTCATTCTTTCTTGAATCCAGATTGTACTTCTCGATAAGATATGAGTCCAGTGAGACTATTATCCTGCTCTTACACTATAGAAGAAGCTGGGATGGTAAAGTACACAGAGCTAAGGTACTTGCTCTTGAAGAAGAAGTCATCAATGCAATGCAGCAAGTCCTTGGGATAGTTGAATACAGAAAGAACATGTGGTATAGGGTTTTTTCGGGCATTTTATATTTTTTACTGAAGTATAATTATTCTATTATTCGTAGATTCAAATTTCCAATAGCTTGACTTGATTTGAGGGGCTAGTTTGTAATTTCAAAATAGTTTTTTTTTTAATAATGTTTGGGTAGGGTAGAGTAGTATTTAAAAAAAAACACAAAAATATTGACGCGTGTCATCTACTCCCCACATTTAGGTGCCATATGCGATTGATTTTGGTGGTTAAAAATATTATTTCGCTATATCATTTGATTAGTCTTAGCCTTCTTTTCTTTCATGTGCAGCACATGTGATTGTTGAATCTCTAATGTGTCGTTGACTTCCTTTTTATTTTTTCTTTGATTTTTCATTTGTGATAAAAAAAATTCTTATATTCTCCAATAAATTATATTTGTGTCTAGCTCTTTGTATCTTCATATAAAATTATAGATCAACTTGTAAAAAATTCAATAGGAGTTTTTTTGAAAAGGTATTAAAATGATAACATGATGGATTTAATTAGCTTTTGTATTTTCATATTAGCCCCTCGATCTACATGGAGTTTTCAATTAAATTATATAAAAACTAATTATTTTTTTTTCTTCTTTGAATTTATTGAATTAATTAATTTACATCGGGTTAGGATTAGCTCTTATATAGTTTAATTAAAAACTTGTGTTAGGTAAAAAATTATATTAGAGGATTTGAAAATTTACCTGCTTACCCGAGTTTAATAACATTGCCAAAAAAATCCCCATGTTCATAGTGTTTTGTTTTATGTTTTAAAAAAATTGATTCAACTTATATTAGAGCATGGACTCATGAATTAGTTATATGTTATTTTTAAGCTTCAAGAACTTTGTAGTTATTAAAATAAACATAATGGTAAATTTGTAAATATTTGGATATTATTTTACTCTTCTTTTATTTTTTTTGTGTGTGAGGTTAGTGATATAAATTATTATTTAACATGTAAACTTGTAATTTTTCAAGAAACAACTGAGATATGAAGTTTTTTGTAATTATCTTTTTTATTTATTTATTTATTATTTCTTGTGACCCCTCTTATCCTTGAAAGCTCTATAAATATAGTAATACACTACATTCTTACCATTGACAAAGCCATCCTGTTAACTAAGTCACGACAATGATATAAATCAAATTTGGCATGATAATATTTCTTTGAATAAACATCATGGCATGTATCTTTATCCATGGAAGTTGAATTCCTTGTTAATGTGAGGAATAGATTACCGAGATTGAGGCACTTGTAGATTATCAGGACTGGTGCATGGATGCTATAGCAGGATCTGATCTTTGCCTCTTTCAATATTTTCTTTACTCACCTCGGCAAAATTTCTAAAACCTTTGTTTGATGTTTTGGGCCTTAGGACCAGGCCCAGGTGATATCCCCGACTCGGATACCTTGCACTCCAGAAATTGAGTTTTGAATCCAAGAACTCGAGCCTCGGCCGTGAGTGCTTTTGAATCCAAGGACTGGTGCATGGATGCTATAGCAGGTTCTGTCTCGTACAATTTACACTGTTGGCTGTTGCAATGCACTAAAATCTGGGAAAATACGAATCGAATGACAGTTCATTTCCAACTACTCATTCCATTAATTGATCGACTGAAGCTAGTAAATGCTTCATACATTCATCTCTCCAAAAGCCATTCCAATTAACTAAGCTTTTACCAGCTAATAAAAGTATTATCTTCGGCAGCAGAAAAGAAGAAGAAGAAGATAAATCTTAAAGTTAGCAAAGTGCACATATGAGTAATATATCAGAGAAGCTAGACTCAGATTTATATTATATTGACAGATAATACAGATACGCACATACATATATTTTTTCCATGATAGATCTGAAAAGATGCAAATATTTCTGCATCTCAAATCAAAATCAATTCAAATTAAATCAATATGAGAAAAATGGTTTAAATGCAACTATGCAACACCTAAACACATACAATTTACATTTATATATATATATATATATATATATATATATATATATATATATATAATGAAAATTAGATCTAAAACTACAACACAAAAAAAAAACCATCATATAAAAAAAAACATAAAGCAGCTTGGTTGGGCCACACCTAACTGAGTCCAACACATCTGGTAGGGGTGCTGTCCAACCAAACCCCACGTCTCTTTTTTTCTTCACTATTTATTTAGTGTTCATAAATAATATTTCTTATTTATTAATAATATTATAAAATTAATCTGAGTCATCTTATCTCATTCTTTTTTATAATAATATTATTTACAAGATACCATTCCTGCTTTGTACTATTTATTATATTCATGAATAATATTTATTTTCACATATTTCTCTTAGTATTTTAAATATAATTTTCATATATTTCTTAGGCTATATCTTTTTTTGATTCTGAGAGAGAGAGATTGAGAGAATTTTTCATCCAAGTATCCTGGAATATATCTGCATCACAATACAATAAATCTACTGTAACGACATAAAAACAAGAAAGAAAAAAGAAACCCTTAAATGAGTCAGGACATCAAATCATAAATTGAAATAAAAAAACAAAGAATATATTAAATATAGCATTATAGATTATAATAATGCCACCATTGTCACAGAAATCCATGGAGTAGAGAGGTCATATACAGAGTTGAATAAGACGGCTCCAGACACCACGATTTGGACCAGTTAAATTAAGTTTTTTAAAACCCATGTAATTCACGCATGTCTTCCACAGACATGATATAATTGTCTTCGCAGCCAATTGCCAAACTAGCAGTAACAATTTGTTTCCTTTTTCCGAGGTCCTTTCAATATCCCGAGGAGTCGATATTTTAAAAGTCCTCACCGATAAATTGGTTTCACAACTAGAATTTCTAGTGGTCAAGCTTGTCCAATAAGAAAACAACAGCTGGGAAGAACATTTCAAAGCTTTCTATTATGAGTTATCAAGAGGTAGATTTTTTAAATATTGCCAGTAATACAAATGGAAAACGAATATACAAATCGAATTGCAGCCACAAGTTTATTTTCTTCTCCAGCAGGACGATTGCTCTCCTCTTTTTTATACTCAGAATCCTATCTATAAATACACTCACCTGGATTTTCAAATCCTCCGTACCTTTCCAATATATTTCTCTAACATTAACTCCGCCGAGATTTCCTTCCTCTTATTCTTTCTCATATCTACGAAGATTTTCAGTCATGGTTTCATTATTATAGAACTTTCTTGCATTTCTGCTCATGATATGAAATATTTCAGACTGTTCTGTCAGATAAAAATCTCCCATTCAGTATCGGTTGTCCTCCTGTACTGGTTCTACGTCTTTTCTTAAACTTGCCTAATTAATTTCGTGTCTCACACACCAACACTTGCCTTTTCTTTTTCATTATCCAAGGCGTGCTGACTGCAACTATTGTGTCTCATAATAAGTCCATTGATTAATCCAGAAAATGTCATCATCACTGGCAAAGGCAGGCTCATCAGGTTCCGACGTTGATGGGCCACATGCTATGATTGACGAGAAGAGAAGAAAAAGAATGATTTCTAACAGAGAATCCGCCAGGCGGTCGCGAATGAAGAGGCAAAAGCACCTGGAAGGATTGGTTAGTGAAAAATCAATTCTGGAGAGAAAAATATACGAAGATAACGAAAAATTTGTTGCAATTTGGCAAAGCCATTTTGCTCTCGAATCACAGAACAAAATCTTGAGGGATGAAAAGATGAAGCTGGCAGAAAATTTGAAGAATTTGCAACAAATTCTTTCAGGTTATGAAGTCCCGGAATCTGATCAAGATATTGAAGTTTCAGACAGATTTTTGAACCCATGGCAAGTTTCTAGTCCAGTGAAGCCCATCACAGCTTCTGGGATGTTCAAGTTCTAGTCGTTCTAGTTTTTATTTCCATGTCATTGTCTCATGATTGCGCTTTTGATTTCTCTGCTCATGTTATTCACATTTGTTTATATCTTGTATGTTTGCAGAATAAAATCTCGCGGTGTAATTTTCTTTCTCAAGTTCATTTTTTTTTCTGGTACAAGAAATTAGGCACCGATCGATCATGCATCATTTGTTTGGAGAGGGAGAAGGCTAAGAGCCTAAAACAGAAGATAAAGGTTAACTTCAGGATAAGAACAAAATATTCTTAAAAGTTATCCAAGATAAACGGTCAAAGAAACCTCCCCCCTGCCCAACTGCGTCGATGTGAAGACTAAATCACTGTATATATATAATATGGGTGACTGCATTCATATGACCATCATCATCACCAGGATAAACAACAAACCATAAATGATAATTAGACACCGTTATCACCTGTATATTCATGGGAGTGGGCAAGAACAATCAGCTTATCCATATTATCTGGCCAGGTTTCTGAGACCGTCTTGTGGCCCCCTCTTCCATTGAACTTATTATGTACAAATCAAAGAGGAATGTAAGTTAAGTTTAATTTCGTGTAGCACTCTTTGCCTGCTTTGGCATTTATCTCAGCATCACTGTACATCAATGATTTAGTTTCTGCATGCTTTCTAGAGTCTACATTCATAAATAAGAAGGAGCGTATCAAAGACACTATAATTCCAGCGATTGAAGTAACCATTTTTTTGAGATGACAAGTTTCTCACGCATGGAACTTCCGTAACTGCCTTGTTTGATACATGAGATAAGACAAGACACTAATTTGCAAGTGCTAGATGTGAAATTTTTAATTTCAAAATTTAAATTGTTCAATAAAATTTTAAAATATATTTTATATTATTTTTTAATATTTTCTTTTAAGTAAAAGTTATTTAAACTTAGAACTTGTATAAATACATATTATTTTTTATTTAATAAATTAAAATAATAAAATTCAAATTTACAACTATATAACCATTTAAATTTTAAAATATTATTTATATTATTTTGAGATAATCTACTCCAGTCTTACATGGTGACTAAATGCATCCTTAAAATTTCATGATTAGCATATCCGTGTTTCCAAATCCACCTGTCACATCAGCCTAGCTAAATGCAATGTATGGACAGATATATTATTTCCTCGTCCAATCACACAGTGCAGATTGTTTTATGATAAAAACAAAATCCCGCAATTTCGGACTTGGACTGAAGGTTTTACATTGATAAGATAATATAACGTACATAGCTAAACGAAGGTGACATTTTGTCGTAATGGTTACTGCCAAGGATTGCGTCACGACAGTGATCTTTTTCTGTGTATGACATGGCACTGATTGGCGTTGCAGGCTCTGTATTGGTTCCCATACCATGGAATTTTTAAAGTCCAGATCTGGCCATGCGATCCTTTGATCCATTTTTCTATTGGACTGGATGTAGTTCAGAGAAATACGCATCTCTCTCGTCTGATAGTTATTAACATTATCGAGTCATCTCTTCTTCGTTTTATTTTTTCTGATAGCGTAGACAAATGGTGTTAGGTATTTGATCAATGTCGTGTTAATTGTTGAGGTCTGAGCTAATACGATGGCCATTGAGTAAATTCAACCCAGTCCAGCTAACCAAAGGGTATTTCAAAATGAAAGATTCGGCCTCTCGAGATCCAGTAACAGGGCCCGAGAAAGGCCAGATTCCGGATTTGATTAGTCCAGCAAATGTATAAATCAAGTCTAGCACTTATATGGAGCTTTACTCATATTCACGTTCCCACAGCAACATATCTGCTAGGCACCACAGGTTCTGATCTCCGATGATTCGAGACTACATTTTTTTTTCAAAAGATATTACTAGCATCATAGTAATTCCGCCGAGTGAAGCACATAAACAGCACAAGCATGTTCATACAGTGATAGCTGTCAATAGTTTTCACAACACTACATTACAAGAACAGCTTGTTAAAACCACCCTAACATATCCTTAACAGTACGAATTGAAAAAAAAAAAAAAAAACAGACAATTAACCTTTTCTGTGAGGTTTTCAAACTAATCAACTCATTAAGGCCCCCCATGGCTCATGTCCCAAAATTCAATTTCAAGCTCAAGGACACGCAGAAATGTCATTTCAGCTTTTTTGAGCTCTTCGTCTGGAGCTTTCTCTAGACATCGATTGGCAACTTTTTTAAGTGAGCGGCAAAATTCACCAAAACCTTCACTGCCCCATCGTTTGCAAGACTCCAGTAACTCCGGTGGGGTTTTGCTGCCATCTTCGAGGCAGTGGGAAAAGCTCTCTTGGTATACTGTTTCAATGGCCCAGAGGGCTGTAAAGACCACGGAATACTCAACTGCTGGTAACATCAAACTTTCCAGAAATCTGTAACAGTAAGCAAACATAGAGTTTCAAATACTACCTTCTACAATTCATGGACACGTCTTTTCCACTGCCAGCGCTTATTTACTGTGGCATAGCAATGATCCGATGTGGATGATCATTCACATTATATTTGGATGTCCAATGTCTATTATTATATATATTTGGAATTTTAGTGACACCTTGTATTTAAAATACAAAGAGCAGCTATGTATGGTTTCAAACAACACAACTATGCCTGATATAGAGTTAATTATTATATATATTTGGAATTTTAGTGACACCTTGTACAAAAAGCAGCTATGCATGGTTTCAAATAGCACAACTATGCCTGATAAAGAACGAACACTGGTCACCATACTTGCTGAATTGAGAGAAGCAAAAACATCATAGTCGATATAAAAAACCAGTAACAATAATGAATTATCGTATGAAAATTTCGAAGCATTACATTTGCAGATATAAAGACGATATGTCAAATACGATGTGATACCTGCAATAATTCTGGTTTGACTTGTGGACAACAACATCAGAGAGAGGAACATCCCAATTGGCTGCCTCTTGCTTGAACCATGAAATCTCGTCATTTAGAGAAGCTAGCCCACTCAATATGACTTCCATATCACTGTTATCATCTGAATTCTTGGAAGCCTTAAGCAACGCACTTGCAGTAAAAGGAACAAACTCTCTAACAAATATGTAATCTTGCCCCTGTAATTTTAAGTCTAATTACGTCACCAATGTTTAGGCACGGGCATAAAAGAAGAAAAAATCCAAATTGCTCAACAACAAACACTCTGCTTAAAAGGTGTTTGAGACATGATCATAAGAAACCAACAGCAAGAATCATCATATACAATAAGACTTATTTGGTACATTAGATATTGCATATATCATATTTCTATTAAAGATATTGCATGCAGAAAATCTATGTAACAGCTATTATAGGGCCAATCATATGTCAATACAAATGAATTCTCTTAGGACCTTTTCTAGAGACCAAATTAAGGATGAATAAATGGGGAAGACGCTATAAATACCCAAAATTAATAAGATATACTGACTGAAAAAGTTGCCACTAAACAATATACAAATTCCTACCAATATACAAACTTATTTTGATTTTGATGTAAAAGACTTAAAAAGATTTGCCATACAGACAGTCAACCGCATGCCCATAAGGGCCATAACCGCAGCTAACCACTGCAAACAAAAAGAACATCATCGTGATCGATTGGACTGTTAAGTGCAAAGATAAGAGAGTAAATAGAGGACGTACCAGCCATCTCTTGAAAGAGGAGAAGTCGATGGTCCCATCTCTTATGCTGAGAATGAAAGGATGTCGGGTAGCCCCTGTATATAGTACAAGGTGCTTCTTCACCCACCTGTCGATCACACCATCCTTCTCTACAGTATCCATTTTCTTTCCTTGACCGCCTCTCTTTCTCTGAAATGTGTTTGTACGTGGCGTCCTGGAAGGGAGACGCATCAGCTCGTGTGACGGAGTGGGCTCTTTTGTGCTAAAACTTGATCTCTTCATGGGAGCCTAATACTGTATTGGGTCAAATACTTGACCTGCAAAGGACAAGTGACCTGGGATTAAATTGGGCCCTGGCCCATTTTATGGAAAAATCTCTTTTGCTTTTGGACAGGTATATTCACAGAAATGTCACTTCTTAGATCCAAACTTGAGAAAGCAAACCCACTTAGACGGTTATATTTCACTATCTTTTTTTTAGCATTATTAAACTTTCATTATAATTTTTTTTTCAATTTTTTTTTAATATATTTTAAAATACTTTATAAAACATCAGCTCAAACCTGATAGCCAAATTAAAAATTACATCTAATAATATAAAGTTAGTTAAATTATAATTTTTCATCAAAATTTTGAATTTCTTCAAAAATTCTAACCCAAGCTAAAGTATCATATTAGAAAACTACATAAATTTTAGAATTTTTTGATAACTCAATTAAAAATTAAATTTTTTTATATAAAAATAATAATAAAATATTTACATGAGCTATAACCCATTCAAACTTTTAACATGCCTCCTTCCCTTGTCACAGATCAATAAAAGAGATTGAAACTAGCATGCATTATAAAGAATGCGCGCACATTCACGTGAGAGGGTGTCTCTGTGCGTACATTATAAGAGATTACAAACAGAATATTAATTTCTGGCTGTGCTGCCTGTATAATTCCACTATCATAGCAGAAAAAGTTATTTATCAACACCAGAAGGATTCTAACCTTCGCATAAATTAGTGCAGGGGCCTGCCATTTGGCAATTGTCAAATTTGTTGGTGACCCAATCCAGGAATTCCTCTCTAGTCAGAATCAGAAAACAAAAAAAAAGACGCTTCCTTTATGCTGTTGTTTCTCTCTGATTACGAGGAGCATTTTCTGCCGCAATCAGTCAGATGTTAAAGATCCTGCATGCATAAAATCTATGCAACAGCTATTATAGGACTCATCATATATCAATACAAACGAATTCTCTTAGGACCTTTTATAGAGACCAAATTAAGGATTAATAAATGGCGAAGACGCTATAAATACCCCAAATTAATAAGATATACTGACTGAAAATGTTGCCACTAACCAATATACAAATTCCTAGCGAGCTTCAAGGCTTTGAAGTTCTTTCAGTCTTTCATCCTACCGATGACGTCATAAATTCAGTTACTGTTGCACGTAAAAATTTTCAAGACCAATTGTCATTGAATCAATGGCCCTGTTCCACCTAACTACTTAGCTAATGTTCTGATATCTAAGGTTGTCAAGTCCTTCAACATGGGAACACAATTGAAGAATTGACTATTGGCAAGCAAAAATACTATTTTTTGCCCTTCATCGTGCCCTGAATCCTCTGTTTATCCATCTAGCATATGAGTTCCCTCCATCACTTAAGCATTTGAAAATGTTAATTTTCATTTTCCATACGAAATTTTCACTCGTGTATCTGCGATTTATGTGCTCAATAAAGGTCTTGCCTACATCAGAAAGGAAAAAATCGTGATGGTTATCAACCAACCGCACAAGCATCGAAAGTCACCTAGCACTAGGATTCAAAACGACTCAAAAATACGAAGAGGATGAACTATCAGGAAAACCACTATTCTATAATTTTTTTTCTTTACATAAAGTGAACGTTACGGTTAATACACATAAAGGCATGTAATGAAAAATATAGCATATCAAGTTGAAGCTTCTAATATTAGATGTAAAATTCTTACCTCGGTTAAATTTACCCCCACCAGCTACTTAAAATGGGCAAAGTACAAGCACATATTTTGACTTGCATCTTGTAAAGCTCCTTTCAACACCATTTGCAATGATGCAGTTCCTGAACAATTATTAGTAATCAAGTTCCTCTTGTCAAGTTTATATGATGGTCACCAAGCCATGCCTTTCTTGAAACTCATCAATAAACTCCATAAAATTCTTAATGGGCGTGTGGAAAAAATGTCTTCGAGGAATATAATCATTTGGTCACCAACCCCAATAATGGCATATTCACCCCAAAACTTGAAACACGAGCATCGCAAACAAATTTATAGGGCACTATCTGGGTGTTTTGACCAGCTGTATCTCGGTTCTCAGCAGCAACAATCGTCATCAGCTCATGCTCATCTTGCACCATATATATGTCCATTGCTTGCAACTAACAGTGGGACGTAGATTTCCATCTTTTCACCGAATGCCCTGGTTCTCAGCCATGATAGTCATCATTGGTTCATGATCTTCTTGCACCATATGATTGGTCAATATATGCAACAACTCATAAATTACTTGACTCTGGGGATGAGAATGGTCTCTAGAAACAAACTCATGGACTGCACCATTGAGTTCAATGGAGCTGCATCCAGGATTTTTTTGCATACCTCGTACTTTCATCTCTCTCCTCAACTTCCCAGAAATATCCCATCTATTAACTGCTGCATAAACACTGGAGAAAAGCACGTAGTTCATGTCATTTTGTGGCTCCATCTTAATTAAAATCCTCCCAACTTGCTCTCCCAGCTCGACATTTCTGTGTAGTTTACAAGCACTGAGGAGGGCTCTCCATATAGCTGGATCCGCTTTCACAGGCATTGTTTCAACAACCCGAAATGCATCATACAACAGACCTGCACGACCTAATAAATCTACAACGCATCCATAATGCTCCATTCTTGGTTTTGGTTTCTGATTTTCCACCATTCTATTAAATATCTTCAGCCCAACTTCAACAAGACCTGAATGAGTACACGCTGCTAAAATATTGATGTATGTAATTTCACTCGGTTCAATTCCACACTCTATCATCTTGGTGAAGAGCTCAATAGCTTTCTCCCCAAACGAGTGCATTGCCAGCCCACCAATCATAGAACTCCACACAAATACCTTCTTATCCCCTGTTTCTTGAAAAACTTTCCAGGCCATGTCAATTCGCCCACATTTACTGTACATATCAATCAGAGCTGTTGATAAATGGGCATCAACTTGGATCCCGTGTTTATCTATATACATGTGGAGCCAACGACCCTGATCCAAAGCCCCCAGCCTAGCACATGCAGAGAGCAAAGTCGTTACTATGACCTCATCCATTTTAACTTTAGCAACTTGCATCTCCTTGAAAAGCTCCAAAGCCTTACTATAACAACCAATTTGTATATAACCCTTAATCAATGCACTCCAAGAAACCAAGTTCCTTTTCGGCATTTCATCAAACAAACAAGATGCCTCACTCAAAAAACCAGCATCAGCGTAACCCACAAGCATTATAGTCCAAGACACAACATCTTTTTCAGGCATTTCATCAAAAAGCCTTCGTGCCTCATCCAAATCTCCTGACTTCACATACCCGTTAATCAAGCAATTCCAAGAAACAACATCAGGACCCTCAATTTTATCAAATACTCGACGGACCACAATCCCCACCTCCCCTACTTTCCCATAAAAATCCAATAAAGAATTCCAAGAATGAACACCAAACTCAAAAGGAAATTTTATCATCTGGGCATGAGCCTGCTTGCCTTCAAAAACACCATTAAACTTAGAACAAGCAGAAAACACATAAGTAAAGGTAAAATCATTAGGATACACATAATGCTGATCACACAACATTCTTGAATAAAAAGCAAATGCCTCCCTTGGATTACCAAAATTTGCATAGGCTTTTATCATGGTAGTATACATAAATGAGTTTCTTGGGATATCAACAGTATCAAACAGTTTTTGAGCATAATTAAGAGAGCCCAGATTGTCAAATGAGGCAAATGACAATAAAAGACGGCCAAATGCATACTTTTCTTTGATAAGAGAGGTTTTTATGAGAAGGGTGTGTAGTTGTATTAGATCTTTAGGGTTTTTGCAGTTTTGGAGAAGAGAAATGGCATGATCAGGTTTTCTTAACTGCTGTTTTTGTTGAGAGTTGAGTGCTGTGGTTTTGCTGGGTATCGGTGAGAGATAAGGAGTGGAAGAAGATATGCTCATGTCTGGCAAGTTTGGTTTTTGGACAGAAACTAGTAGAGATTGTAATGATAGCTAAATTAGTTAGCTCAGAAGGATGTGAAGATGGCTTCAGGAAAAATCATGGAGGAGATTTTTTATAGAGTAAATTTCAAGTTAGTCCAGAAACTATATATTGCTTCTCAATTGAGTTCTTAAATATTCCTTTTTATCACGATTGGGTACTCAAACGTTTAAAAACGTAATGGAGGTCAAGAGCCTGACTGACCAATTAACCATCTCATTGACTGAACTAGACCGTCTTCTTTTGTCCTTTCGAGGGTTTTTTTTTTTTGGGAAAAAACCTTTCAAATGAGCCCTTCAAGAATATTAGTAAAACTTAATTAAATTTCACATTTTTTCCTTGTTTGATTTACAAAAAATTAGAACTTCTCAATTCATCTGTCTAAAATCATCAATATTTTTTACATAAAATTCCAAATTCTTCATTTTAATTGCATAAAATCCAATTTTAGGATTATCAGATGGGGATTCAATTCTGGGCCTTTAAAGATTATTTTAAGAAAAAACCTTTGAGGACTTAAATGAGAATCAGACTACAGTTCGTTTACTAATTTGTTTTTTTTCTTGTGGGTGTGTTCATGGAATATACTCAACTACTTTTAATAAAAGAACGGAAAGTAAAATCTTTAACAAAATCAATTTGTGTAGATTGTAAATTTTTTCCATGCATGAATGTTTGTTTCCCTTGGATTTTATTAAACCAATATTTCCATTAACGTGATTTATATTTCTTACTGCAATTCTTTTGTCTGTTCCTGTTGATGGGAGCTCCAAGCAGAAATAGAAAGAAGTGGCTACGAGGCATTTGCCATTCCTGTCAAGAGAGCATGAATTTCCAGAAGCAAAATTCTTAAGCAACAGCTATGCTTGATAAAAAGATGACATGCTTAGTTCTTCTATCATTCCAAATTTGGCGAAGTTTGCCCTTGATCAACCATCTATCTTCAAGTTCTGGAACATTCTCTCATACCATCCTCAGCTGCTAGTATCTCGGATTTCCTGCCCGAAGCATGCATCCAATGTCATTCTATTTGGATCAAGTTGATCCATGTTAAATCCAAGGCAATCATAAAAAAACACTGTATAAAAGCAGTGCTTGAAGAAACCGGTCCGTGAATATTGGTGAGCAGTCATTTGCCTCAAATTCGGTGATCACCATGGCGCAGGGATTTAGTTTTCTGCTTTGATGTTGTTCCTACAGATGTTTTTTAATAATCTTGACTGGGCATTCGTGTTGATTGGCAAGGGCTTGATCAAAACTGTGCGCAGTGTCCTCCACTTTGATGGCAAGGTCTATGAAATGAACTTTGTTAGCAGAGCAGAAACGCTCTACAACTGCTTGGATTCCACTGTACTGACGTAAGGAAAAGAGCAATAAAAGCAGTATTCGAAGTGATTGTTGTCTCTTCTGGATGCAATAGGTGTCCGTTGCTTTCCATTTCCGTTAATGTGACAAACCCATTTTCTCGTTCAATCCTCTCTTGAAGCTTTCGCAAAATAATGAACAACTCGTTGAACTGAAATTCCTGTGTTGGAAGGCAAGAAACCAAACAGGTTAAGGAATTTTCTCCCATTATCAAATTGCTGATTTTCAAGCTTGTCAGCAGAAGCTAGAAGTAGTAGTGCAAGTTCCACATCTTTTATCTCCTAGCCGGAGAGGCTGAACTGAGAAGCATGACCATCAAAGAAATGGCCAAGCATGGAGAGATCAAATAGCTGCTGGGAAGAATATTTGGATGAACCTTCCTCTGCTACCCTCATGACTTCTTCAGATTATAATCTACTGACAGGAACCATAGTTTAAGGCTCCGAGTGCAGCAAAGCTTCTCTACTCTAATTTTTCTTTGTTCAAACTCCACAACTCTGTTCTTTTGCTTTCTCTAGGAAGATATTCAACAACCCTCCAATTTGTTTCTTTTCTTTTCTTTTTAACCAAAAGACAGCTTCATTTCAAGAATCATTAATTTTTTTTCGAAAGCTTCCAATAAAGAAGACGATTCACATTCAGGAACAAGGACTAGTTTACTTTCCTTGGATATATATTATATTTGTATTGCAGAAGTAGATGGGTGGAAGTGGCAGTTTCTTCCTGTCACCATTAACAAGGCAATTGATTCCAATTATGTCTCTCTTTCTCTAATCTTCACCTTTCGATTTATTTTTTTTAGCTTATATCACCGGTTTCATGATGCAATTAGGCTTCCTGGGTAAAACCCTCCTCGTTATCCAGCTGAAAGTAATCTTCTCTAAGATCCTGCATGTTAGAAACCACAATCACATTAAGTTGTAGAAAGTAGTTTTTTTTAGAAAATATTTTTAAAAAAAATTAAATTTTTAAAAAATAAATTATTTTTTTATATTTAGTAATGTCATGAAAAATAAATTAAAAAATATTTTTCAGTGTTTAATTATTTTATAAAAAATAAGTTGAAAAAAATTATTAATATTTTTTTCAAGTTTATTAAAATAATAAGGAACAAATCTTACAGATTAAAAAATTAAATAAGTATGAAATTGAAAAAAATATAATTTCATAAATTATCTCAAATAAAATAAATAATAATAAAAATAATAGAGATCAAATCTAACAAATAAAAAAATTGAAAGATAATGAAATTAAAATAATAATAATAATAATTTTATAAATTATTTTTAATAAACTAAATAAAAATTAAAATAATGGTGATAAAATTTAATAGATAAAATTTTTTAATTAAAATAATAATAAGAGAAAAGCAAATAAAAATTATAAAATAAGAACTAAAATTAATATAAAAATCAAATTAAATCAAAATTTAAGGGATGATATTAAAAAAAATATTCAAATATATCAATCAAAAATTTAAGAATAAAATTTGATATAATCAGTAAATAATATGATATTTATAATTTTTTCATAATTTTTAAAAAGTGTTTTCCACTCAAAATAAAAGGAAAATACTTTTCTGAAAATTAAACTAAATTTTTCTTTGACTAAAAAATATTTTTTATTAACTAATTTTTTTAAAAAAAAATACATAAAAAATTTAAAAATATTTTTTAAAAATTACTTTTCAAATAAATAAATACCTCTGTAGAAAAAAAAAGGAGGTCGGCAAAACTTATAAACCGCTTACATGTATCCTCCATTAATTTCTTTGGGGCAGCCCCATGGCAGTTGATGGACCGCCAAAACCGAGCCCACGAAAAAAGTGAAGGGGCTGCACCAAAGCCGAGCCCAACAACAAAGATGAAAGATGTCGTCCAAAACAGAGAAGGAAAATATTAGCTCAAAGGGGAAATGTTGGGCTAAAAACCTAGCACAATAACAAAGAAGAAAGGTGCTTCCCAAAACTGAAGACAAACAATTTGGGCTCAAAACTGAGCTTAAGAAGGAATTGTTGGGCTAAAAACCGAGCCTAACAACAAAGAAGGGAAGTGTTGCCAGAAACACGAGGAAAGCCTCAGGCTCAAACTCGAGCCGACTAAGGAAATGCTAGGCTCAAAACTGAGTCCAACAAACAAAGGAAACATGAGCACCCTACCTCTTTTACTTTTCTCGTGTTTTGAGCAATTCTCCATGTTAGCACAACAGGTGATGTCAGGCACACCACCAGCGTTGCATCAACTGCTGACTTGAATGTTGAATGTTGAATGTTAATTAGAATTTATAAAGGTGTCAGTGCGGCACCTACATGAATGTGCTGTTTCACAAGTAATTACTACCTCGGGGATGATGGATCACTATTCGCTCAAGTCTTCTGTCTTCGTTAAAACGTTTCGAGGCCATTTCCATGCTTTTGTAACAGCTCAAGTGAAGCTAGTGAAAATGGGAGTTGATTTTCCTTCTTGGGTTCAAGAAGATCTCGATTCCATTTTGGATTTCTCTGACTTCGAGATTTCCTCCAAACATGTTTAAAGCGGTGGAGACATAATTGAACTTAGGGGATCACGCTAGTTAGTGTTGATTTTTATAGATCTGCTGTGTGTTTTAATTCTTTCAAAGGAAAAACAAAGCTGTTTTTGAAAGATAAAAGTTAAAAAAAAATATATTTTAACGGTGAAAAAGGTCTAATTGTTACAAATAAAATTTTTAATTGCAGGTTTAATATTATGAGTTCATCTCGGATTTATTTTACAACAGCTATATTTCAAAAATTATATCTTATACTATAAACATGTATCTCTCCATTTTTTTAAGGTCTACTTACGATCTTCTAGCAAAATAAATTATTTCTTGCAAACATCTTAGCTTACATGTGTTCCCCTCTTTCTTCTCTGCGGCCAAATTTTTTTTGATGCCAACAAATATTGATTCTATAAACATCTTGTTTGGATCATCTTGTTCCATACAAGTTTCTGTTAGGATATTACAAATTATGTGGCAGAGCTCTATTCTAAAAGAGGATTGTTATTGTTAAAATCTGTAATGATAGGTTGCAATGATAGGTGGGTAATTATTAAATAAATTACATTATTTATTAATAAAATAATATAATTTATGTTCTGTTACCATTAATTTTATAATTTATAGTAAAGTTGTCTTGTTATTAATACTTATAAATAAAGGTATAATCTAAAGAGTAAAGAAAAAAAATGATAAGTAAAAAACATAAAAAGAGAGAATGATAATGATAACAATTGCAAGTACATCAATAAGAGATGTAAGTTAAATATAGTGAATGTAATCCTATTATTGTATATATTTGCATTATATCTTTTTTTTTATTGTATATATTTGCATTATATCTTTTTTTATTTTTATTTTAATAATATAATATTTTCTTATAGATATAGATAATTTATTTAACCATATTAAATATTATAATAACATATTTAGCCCCAATAAATAAAAATTAAAACATTACCAATTGGAATTCACAACAGTTTCAAGGCAGTCAAAATTGTGATTTCCCTCAACTTCTATTATCACCATTACACATGGATTGATGTTTCTGATCACTATCATTAAGGAATCAGCCGGTTCGGTGGTGCAATCAAGCTTGTCAGGAAAAATTCAGAAAATACAGCCTTTTTTCCCTCAGAATCAAGCTCAAGATCTTCTCTGAGATCCCGCATGTCTGATACCATAACCACGTTAAAAGAAAAGGGCAGGTTCATGGTCTGAGCAAAACTCATTAACCTCTTACCTGTGTCCTCCATTAATTGCTTTGAAGTTTGAAGTACTTCCATCAGCAGTTATCTAGAGCAACTCAACGGGCCATTCACCTCGAGATGCCAAAGCTTGCATAAAGAGTGTCCACTGCAGTCCAGTCCTGATTTCAAGATCAAGTATGAGAATTCTCTTTGTCTCCCCCACATTTTCAACAATGGCTCGAATTCCAGCAAAGTGTGAAAATCGGGAGAAGGAATTTTGTTCGTAAAATGCCATGATGCTGAGGCTTGGAGCCATCATTGCCTCATAGATATTGAAAGACGTCTCTTTTATGTAGCCTTTTGATGCGGCTCTGCTTGTTTCTCGATTTATTCTCTCCTGCAGAGCTCCGGATAAATAGTAAACTAATCTTTGAACTGAATATCCAGTGTTGGAAGACAAGTAATCACGGAGTCACAGGAATCTGCTTGCACTGTCAAATTACTGATTGCCTACTTTCACCTTAGAAGACAGAAGAATTTCAGCAAGTTCCACATTTTTAGCCTCATCAGGAGAAAGAAAGATCTAACGGATGAATGATGTCAACATCGACAGTTTGGGAAGACTGGATAAACCTTTCTCCAGCAATCCTAACGATTTCTTCAGTTGACAATTCTCGCTTCACTACCCCTGTGAACAATTTATCATTGATTGGCTCAAGATGTCTTTCGCTGTTCAATTGCTTGAGACCGTCGGCATGATTTTTTAACAGTTCAAGTGAAGCTGATGAAAATGGGAGTTGCTTTTCCTTTTTGGGTTCAATAAGGCCCCTCATTCCATCTTTAATTCTTCATGTTTCAAGTGGTGGAGACATGCTTGAACTTGGGGATCAACGCTCCATTACTCTCCCCATTCTTCATCAGCTTTATAGAAATGAATTTCTTCTTGTGTGTTGTCTCCTTCCCTGTTCTCAAAACTTGTATACGTTGTCCAGAAATCATCTCGGCCTCCAGCGAAATCGAATTCTTCGTAAGGTAACTTTTTCACTCTCCATCTCAAATTGAAAACAAGCTCGCAGTTTGCTGTCAAGGTACTAATTGGTGTTCAATAAGGGTGACATCTCAAGGTATGACTGAACTAGCGGAATTGTATTGTGACATATTCTGATACTTGGCTAAGATTATCAATTACAGTCGTTTGATGTTGAAGGAATCAAGGCTGCTTGCACCATTGCACGCAAAAACTTGGATATAACACAATATTTTCCAGATATATCAATTCTTACAAGGCTGAAACAATGGCTGGAAACTACATATTGTATTGAAAAGCCAGATTCACGCCGAAATCATAATATAAGAACGTTTAAAACAAATACATCCTTAAAAGATTAGCCAGGAAAGTACACCGAACTAAAGAACATACATAGGAATTAAATAAACAACAATGACCATGTTGACAGATACTGACAGCCAGCGTAGCTTCATGTGAATGATCAAAACTAAAAGGAGAACTACAGATTGGAAATCAACAATTCTCAACGGTCATATTGAGCCTGTTATCCTGGTTTAAGTACTTACCTGTCATAAAAAAATCTCCATGTAACTTGTCAATGTCATGCCCATGCTACATGCCCGCATGTAACAGTCAGGTAAAGGACAAAAAGTGATGGGATATAAAGAGGATTGCTATATGGAGTTCTGTATCAAATCTTTTTTCCAGTGCAGGACCTTACCCAATTTTAAATTGCAGTGGGGTTAAGATTGAAATTAGGTTGACTACTGGTACCTTTCTGGGCTGGGCCTGACAATTTTAAATATACTGGGCCCAGTTGGCAATTTTCCATTCAGCGTCTTATTGGCTGAATAACGTTAATTAAAGAGAAAAAAATGGTCGTGAAATGCCCTTTGCCTAAAAAAAGTCTATATATTTAAAATATTTTTTAAAAAATATATTAAAATAATATTAAAAAATTATTTTTAACATCAAAACAATTTAAAACTATTAAAAACATTATATATATATATATATATTTTTTAAATTTTCATGATACACGGAGCAGAGCAAGTGAGGGATTAATTAATTAGTTTTAATAAACACTAAATTATAACTAACTATTGAAATAAAAGGATCCGTGACATCAGCTTACTATTATCCATGCGTGGGCCCTGCTTTTGCGTGTTATTATAAAATGTAAACAAACTCAAGAATTCAGTTTAATATAAGAAACAAAAAATAGTTAAGAACTATCACCACAAGAGAACAAAGAAAAATCAATAATTTAACTTTAGGTTTCTGGAATTAGTCGTGATGTGTATAAACTGACCCGAACAACTATATTAATCTAAAAAAAATCAATAATTTAACTTCAGATTTCTGGAATTAATCGTGATGTGTACAAACTGACCCGAACACCTATATTAATCTAAAAAAAATCAATAATTTAAAATGATAAAAGCGGACGCTTGTCAGTTTTTGCTCTAATCCAAGTGATAAGATGAAAATAAAAATTATTTATCCATTTTGATTGGCCTAAACCGACAAAACTAGAAATTCCTAACTTTGATCATTCCAGTAATTTTCATATAACGGGATTTTTTCCTCCAAGAAAGTAACTGCTAGATTCTGTGGGTAATTGAACCAAGAGCTCCTTACTGTTCTTATGGCATGAACTTCCAAGTAGAAAGTGAAAGAATTGGCGCCCTTCCATCCAATAAGCAGGCTTTTCTCATCCATATCAAACGTGCAAGAAATCCCAAAAGCAATTTTTTTTAATAACAAAGTTTTCTCGATGCAAGGATGCCTCACTCAGTTCTGGCTCTGCCATGCCAAACTGTGCGAAGAATTTCTCCATGCATCTATCTTCACATTTCGAATCTTCCCGTTCTTTCCCTCATCATCCACAATATCCCTGATTCCTTCACCTAGGTATATTTGATTCTATAATCATCTCGCTAGCTGGATTATCATGTTCCATGCATTCATCAACGAAATCAAGTTATGCACTGGAGTAAAAAACAGTTTCAATGAAACGATAGAGAAAGACCCTCGAGTTATGATTTCCCTCTGCTTCAGTCATTTCCATTATACTAAGATTGATACTTCTGATAACTTTCATTAAATGATCCAGCAGATTTTATTGCACAATCAGGCTAGTGCATATTCAGAGTATACAGCTAATTCTTCTTTAGCATCTAACTCAAAAGAGATCCTCTTGGAGATCAAGCATATCTTAATACCATAACTATCTTAAAGGAAAAGGGTATGTTGATTGTCTGATCAAAACTCTTTAAACGGTTACCTGCACCCTCAATAAGTTGCTTTGAATTAGTCCCCACAGAACTTATCTTGAGAAGCTCGAGAGGGCATTCATTTCGAGATGCTAAAGCGCCTCAAGACTGTCCACTGCAGCCCGTTCCGAAAATTCACATTAATTACGTGAATCGTCTTGGCCTCAGCTATATTCTCTGCAATAGCTTTGGATTCCAGCTAAGTGTGGAGCCTGATAAAATGGAATTCCTTCGTGGCATGCCTGGATAGTGGGGCTCGAAATCATCACTGCCTCGTCAATATCAAATGGCTAACTTTCCAGACCCCGAGATGCTATTCTTCTAGTTTCTTGATCAATTCTCTTTCGAAGAGCCTCGGGAAAACAATAAACTACTCTTTGAATTTGATTTCCAGTATTGGAAGAGAAGATATCACATTGATTTAGCAATCTTTTGGCACTGTCATATTGTTGATTGGCTACATTTTCAGCAGAAGCCAGAAGGGATTCAGTAAGCTCGACTTTTTTTTGTCTCCTCATCTGAAAGACAAGAGAAAGAAAGATCAAAAGGATCGTTGAGCATGGGGCTAACACCAGCAATTCTCATGTTTTCTTCAGTTGACAACTTCTGGCCTGCCAAATTGCGTTGCTTGGTTCAATGTTCAAACTTCTACGACCGCTTGTATAATCCTTAAGCAGCTCAAGTGTGGATAACGAAAACGGACGTTCATTTTGATTCTCGGGGCCTCCTGGATTTCTCGAAGCATAGCAATTTGATTCGAACATGCTGAAACAGTGGATAAAAGTCATCAGACTTTAGATCTTCAAACCGTCTGTAATCTGAAACTGGCTCTTTCTGCTGTTCTTGTAGCTCAAACCTGGATAACATGCATCCTCCTTCTAAGGCTCTTTGTGAGCGAGTACCTAATCAAAGGAAAAACAATCAATACCACCATTTCCAAACTCTTCCCCAGTCATCCACTTCATATTTCCCTCTTCATTCCCTCCATAATCACACGCCACAAAACTGAACTCTTGGGAGGAAAACTAGCTCTCAATTTAGTTTCTCAATTCTAGTTGTGTATATTGATTTATGACAAGGTATACTGGCTTTGTTGATTGATCAAAACCATAGCAATAGGTGGACAAGAAAACAGAACAGTTTTAGACATCCCACACGAAATGCCCTGTCAGTGGGGGGATTTCTCATTATATTAATATGGTGCGTTGACAAGGTTCGTACTAAATGTAATCAAGCATGGTTACTGGATGCTGACAGGTTGATGTAATAGAGGCAGCTAGCACCCCTGGTTCCATACTTTTGGGCCCCATTTTGAATGATCTCACAAAACAACAATGGCTGAAATTAAAACAATAGTTTCATGATTAAGAACTTTCCAAACGATCCATACAAATACAGCCAACAAATGCAAAGGCTATAACCAACAGAGTAGAGACAAGATGTTGATTAACTACACGATCCAATAAAAAGATTGGTGTTAATTAAAAATTACTGTTGTTCCATTGAAAACTCTAACTAAACAGTATAGAAGGTAAAATGAAGGCCAACAGTTTCGCTTAGATTTTCAACTCTCTGTTGGTGTAAAATAAACCTGATCTGATATTGAAAAGTAGAGAGGTTGGACAAAGTCATGGCCACATGATATCTGACCTCTATCGGCTGCGAAGCCATATTATAAAATAAATCAGCGTCATGGCAAGACGAGTAAACACACTGTTTTTACACAGCCAGATATTATTGGTCCTGCCTATTGAAATTCAGATTTATTGATCAACTGCTTGTTGTTCTTCGCAAATGAACTTCAGGCAGAAAGAGAATATATTGCACTGCGACTACCCTTCCACCCAATTACCAATTCAAGCTTAAAAAAGAGATTGGCAAAGACTCGCACTTGGAACCAAATTACAAGAGTTTAGAAGAAAATCGAGGGAGAAGTTGAATAAATTGAGAGAGAGATAGAACTAACAGCTTACACTGCTAAAATGTAAATCTTATTGCCTGGATTTCACCATTCTCATACATTCTTATTTATACAATGAACTCTCCTTCTAACTATCTAGTAATTTCATGCAACTAGCTCTTAACCAGCTAACTAATCTTCACATGCTAAAATATGCTAAACAATGACGAACTGTTGCTGCTAAGTTCCTTCCATCAATCTAAACTCGTAACAACACTCTAGACTAGTTAAACTTGTAATCCGTTCGCAAACCTTTCCTGGAAATTTAAAGAAGCATAGCATTCTTAACGTGGTAAAAATCAATTCCCCTTATTTTGATCCACAATGCTCAATTTTGTACGGAACTAGCTAGAGGTAAAAACCCTGAATAAGAAACTTCCTTCTTTATTTATTTATATTGAGACATAACACTGCTGTTTTCCAAGGTAACACACAAGAAGGAATATTATTATTAATAATAAAAAAATCTCTGAGCCATCCCAAGCCCCAAACGAAATCTAGCCAGAGCATTTTATTTTGTTATATATAACACACATGATTGCGAGAATGGATATTGATGGGCTTGGTTTCACTTCGGAACTCGAAGAAGAAGAGGAATGGGATTGGGAGAAGGCGGAGGCGAGTCCCAAACAGAGAAAGCACTTGCTGAGTTCATCCATTTTGCAGTCATTTCTGGATAATGACGATCAAGGACATCTTTCAGACTCTCTGTTGTATTCACCCATTCAAATCCTTTCTTCGTGTATGTTTCCTCGTTGAAATTGCTTGTGAAGAACCTATCTGCCTCTAGCCTCCTGCATGTCCACGAACCCCTCGGGTCATCAAAACTCATGATATATATGGTGGATCGTAGGAATTATAATAACAAGTGATTGATATATTGTTTTGTGGAAAAAGGTAACTTCTACTTATAAATTACATGTCTAAATACTTTTGTAATAATTTTTCCAGACGTTGAAATAAATGGGCATGAATTAGCATCACCTGGAAAATAATTTAATAAGAGGAAGTGGGGTTAGATTGCCTCAACATGCACGCATCTTACGACAAATATAAGATATTTACCTGGTTGCCATGACAAGGAATATAATAAAAGCAGTCTCGCTAATTGCAAATCCTTTAATTTTCTTCTCTGCCATGAGTCCCACTAGAAGGTCGAGCTCTTCCACTTCATCACCATAGACTTGATGAAGAGCTTCTATCACCTCCTGATCATCCGTTAGATCTTCCCATTTTGAGATGGGTATCATTAGTAGAGCCCTACGAAACTCATTGTACCTCGCAACATTCCTCTCCCTGTCCCGGTAAACTGAGCGACGATTTATTCATATTTGATCAAACAAAATATATGTACATTAGCTCCACGTTATTTACATGCGTTAGGCGTATTAATACAAATGTAAATATTTACAATGACTTCCTGAAGAATCATAAGATTATAAAAAACATCAAATTTTTCAAAATACTAACTTTTTGTACCCCAAAATACTTTTAATGTCGAAGGAGTTGACTGTAAAAGTATAAGAAAATTTTCTTAAACATGGAATTATAATTCCATGAAATATTCAATTTTGAATAGTTTCTATATTCACAATACGATCATATGACTGGTTAGCGTTACCTTCAAGAGCGGCAAGGTCTACATGATCAGGCCGGTCCATACCATCAACATCCTGTGCTACGACGTCCCTGAGCCACATGGGATAATTCCATGGTTCCAATGCCCCAGAAGCTTGGTGGCCCATTGAAACCATAAGTTTGATAAATCCAATTCCAGATAATGTTTTTTCTCCTCCACGACCTATCAAACTTGGCAGAGGTATCCTGCGCGTGCATGCACGAAATCAACATCAACAGAACTTTTCTCCATATTTATCATCCTTCTTTTTAAATACACTAATTAACAACGTCTAAAATACATTATAATTACATACATACATGTATGTATGTATATGTGTGTGTGTGTGTCTTATCTCAAAAAGAGTAGTAAAGGTTAATTATAGGAGAGTGCTTTTGCTCCTGCTTCTTTTATAATCAGCATGCTTTCCTTAAGTACCTTTAAAGTATTTTATCTATTTATATATTATTTGAAAAGAAAAAGGAAAGAAAGAAAGGGGAAAGGGATGTCCAATCCATTTTATCAAAATAAAAGGCAACTTGAATTTTACTTGTCAGTCGAAGGAGGAGATTTGTGAGAGCCGGGTACAGCTGATATGTCTCTAAGCTGAAGGTAATCAGGGAGAAGTGAGTGCATTCTGTAAACAGAGACAAACTCCTCAGTTAATGAATATGGGACCCCATGGTTTTCAGGCTTCTTAAGACCCACAACACCTCCCAAGATAGCTCCTCCAACATGACCAAACGTGTCCTTGAATTTTTTCCCCAACAACCCATACCTACAAAGCAGAAACGAAGGACAATAAATTAAATTCGTATCATGGCTGATATTAATTTGCTGTACAGAGAGTACAAATTTGTTGGAAATTTTTTCCCAGCAACCCATGTTCTCGGAGCTGGAGGTTCACATACCAATTGCCTCGCATCCCTGCTAATAGTGTATCAGTTTTGAGAAGTTCAACAGTCCAATCAATGGTATGAACTTTTGCAATTACAGCAGAAGTCACTAGCCTTGCGTACCGGTATAGTTCTTCGTCTCCCAAGTTCTTATATTCCCCCTAAACATGCAGCGTATAAAATCAAATAATCTATGGATAAAAATTTAATTTCAAGAAATGAAATTAATGCAACCGAGTATTCCTTATGAATGTGATAAAAACACACACAGTACATGCACACACAAACCTTGAGGGTGTCACAAACTGCGTTATGCTCTTTAACGAAGAGGGCTTGCAAAATGGAAACACCTGCCCAACTATTGCGAACATCTCCTGAAACAGCAGTCCCATCTTGGTCGTGAAGGAGAAGGCCGTCTTCAGATATCTTGAGCTTCCCATCTTTGAAAGTTCTAACCTTATGCAACCTTTTTTCATTGCTCCCGTATATAGCACTTCCATCCCTGCATGTATTTCTTAGAGTATATCAAGTTCTTTTTTTTTTTTGGACCGACTATTTTGAAAAATATTGTGACCGCTGCTATCTAGAAGGAGATTTGTTCTATGATGAAATTCTTGTTGGATTTAGAATTTAGTGTTTCTCGTGCAATAATATCTTCTTTGGATTGCTGCAGAAAAGTTTTATTTAACAACCGTAACAAGTTGGAGTCATTATTTAGAAAGAAAGAAAAAACCTCCATGGACGTTTTCATGGAAATTAATGATTGTACAAAATTCCTATAAATTGCAATATTGTGCTTGTATTTGAATCGTTTTCTTCCCAAATTAATTGTTTTTAAGATTATATATATACATATATATATCTTCCAAAAAAAATGAAATTAAATGTCTCTCTTAAATACCCTATTTTCAAGAAATAGAACACAACGAGCATTTTAGCATCTCAGAATGTGGAAATCTAAATGGAGCTAGCTCACTCATGTGTCCACTGTGGTTTTTATTTATTGAACCCATTAAAATTAGGAAAGTTTTGAAATCCTTTTGATTAAGCTGTTTTCACTTAAGCATCGAAAAATACCACCAAGGTGTGCGAATATTCAACGCTCCACTCTTGATCTCCCAGAATCCAGTGGGGACTTCCTTAGTCTTGTAAAACCTGAAAGATTTAAGTGGACATTGATTCGCAACTTGCTTTGGTGCAACAAGCTCAATCTGCAAATATTTAGTTACAATTGGTACAGAAGAAAAACATCAGCTCGTCAAATATCTGATCTTTGTTCTATATTGTGATATATATATATATATATATATATATATATATATATAAAACACATATTATAAACTCTCATGAGGTACCTGCTCAGTTTCTTCCATGTGATCAACCCAGTCATGTATCATAAACTGAATCCATGAAGCTGCTATCATGTTGAATTGCTTTCCTGTGTCTATAAATTTTTTCCGAGCTAGTAGTCTTGTGGCAACGACCATAGGGTCTGGCTTCTTTAGCTACATAATTTTGATGCCATGATGTAAGAAGAGGATGCGCTTGACAAAAATGATCGTGTTTATGAATACATATAGATAAATCTTATATTGTTAATTCATAAAAAAAAAATTAACGTCTTCTTGAAGAAAATTTATTATTATTATTATTATATTTTTCTGCTTTTTACAATATCTCTTTTACTGGAACATCTTTGAAATAAAATTTACAAATCTAAACCCGGGATCATTTAATTAAAAATAATAATTATAATTGTCATTACCATATCTTAGGGGAAATCATGAGGAACATATATATACATATACGTACCTTATCTTGTTGATTTACTGGGAGAACGTTTCTTCCAAAGAAAGTTCCTTGGCTTCCTGCACCCTCGTTGAAGGGCTCGTTATATTTTCCATCGGCTGTTCTGTACGGATAATCTGCTGGGTTATAGCGAACTCCGGTGGGGGATCTCCCAACATTGAACAAGTTGTACTCCTGGTGAAGGTGCCTCCGTAAAGTCAAATAAAGCAGGCCTAAGAATACAGGCAACCGATGCCATATCCCCAACTTATCAATGGAGTGCACTATCTGCAGGAATAAAATGTAAATACTAATATTTATCATGGATTAAAAAATTAAACATGCACTATATATAGAGAGAGAGAGGAGGAGCAGGGTTTTACCAGGAAAAGAAAAGCATCAATAATGGTCATCCTATCAACAACTTCATGGAAGTCTTGGTGGATGAAACGATGAAGAGATGCACTTGATAATTTTTTTATCAACTCTGTTAGCCGAAACATTTTTGCTTCTTTAGAAACTGTGTTCCCGAGCAAGTGAGATCTCCAAGCCCACCTTGCCTATTTATTACATGCCTGCCCATGTGATGTCACCGAAAGGGGCGGCTATGATCGATGTGCTACCTCCATTCATCTGTGATGATTACTTTAACGACCATAAGATTTTTTTTTTTTCGTTTTCAACATCATTACATTAAATTTAAAAACTATTTTTTTCTATTTAAATTAGTACTTTTAATTTACTTTGACTTTTATTAGTTATAATATTTTTTTTATATAATTAAACAACACTGTAAGATATTTTTCAGAAGGGAAATAATAAATATATAAACCTTCAAAGTCTTGGAGTTTTCTCCATAAGAATCGTTACCTAATTTTTTTAATAATTTAGAGTTGTAAGATTTTAAAAAATGGAGAAACATTTTCTAGTTGGAATGGTAGCGCAAGATTAAAAAGTAACAATCAAATCAAATAAAAGATAAGGGCGGCTTTCCAAAAAGGACTGAATGGTTATATTTATTTTTTAAAGTATTTTTATTTAAAAATATATTAAAATATTTTTTTATTTTTAAAATTTATTTGTGATAAGATCTAAAAAAATTTAAAAAATATTAATTTAAAACAAAAATTAAAAAAATAAATTTTAAATTTTTTAAAAACACTTTTAAAATTAAAAAATAAACAGAGCTCACGTGGTGAATTTCATGGTTGCGGTGAACCATAGTTAATATTTGTTTGCTTGCTAATAAAATTGAGCTAGGTGAAGCGGGTTCCACATAAATTTAAATTGAAAATGCCACATGCATTTTTATTAGTAAGAGTTCTTAAATTTTCTTAGTAATGCCGCAAGACGTGCTGTATGTTTTTCTTTTTATGCATGTAACATTACTCTTCCGCTCCCTAATATTGGAGCCACTACTTATTTATTTTCTCATCCTAAACAAGCAAGTTCTAATGTCTGCCCAGGGTTACCATAAAAGTCTTTGCCTTGCTTGTTTCCTACTGTTTGTAAAGAAAAGGCGAAAAAATAAAGAAATCGGATTTGATCAATAGAGAAACCAGAGTAATCATCTACACAGTATTCTCTAAACTCTTCCATAATCGATCTACACAGTATTCTCTAAACTCTTCCATGATCGGATAATAATCGGATTTGTAAAATTTAATATTAATGAAATGCAAATTAATATAATTAAAAATTAAAAAATAATT